GGGATTACCAAAGCAATATAAGCATATACTTTAATCAATGGCCAAAGAAGGTTTGAAGTTGGAGAGCAAATTATCCAGTGATCAAAAGGGTATCAAAATCCAAATATAGTTATAAATCGCTGTAAAGCAGTCTTACAAATGGATTGAAAAATGGGGTATACCGCCAATTTGAACTTGTTGTAGTCCCACAATACAATTGAATTGAATAGGGAAAAAAAAGTCATGGTTGTTGGCGCAGTCTGTAATAGAGGCAAACGATGTCAAAAAAGAGACAAATGAAGGTGATGTGATCATTAATTGACATCAAAAACTGAGATCCCCAAAAGCAAACTTTGAAAAAAATGTCACTAACAAATCAGTCAAAGAAAACTCTCAAAAGAACGTTGTTGACAAAAGCGAATTTTCCATGGGCACCTGAGGTAATTAAACTCATGAAAGTAGTCACTTACAGTTTTTATAGTGGACAGAAGATGTACTTGAGTGAATATCTTGACAAAGTACTTGTCTTTGACAATAAATATGAAACTGACTGAAATTGAAGATTTAAAATAACCTAATCGTAATTCTCACAACGTATTGATAATAGACAAGAGTGAATAGAAGAATAAAAATAAAAATAAAAATCTAATGTCCTTGAACAAATATTTCCTTGTTCCTTATCTGTATATTTTTTTTTACCAAAGCATTATCAATCCAAAGGTTTTTAGGTTTATCATGAAAGGGTATAGGTAAAATAAAATAAATCCATTTGTATATAATCGAAGGCAATCGTCTATCCAAACAAAAAACCTAAAGAATATTGGTAGTATTGATGGTCTATTAAGTGGTTCTACTTGAAAACCTCGTTGATAGTTTGAAATGACTTTGTTGTTTTTCTTTTTGAAAAAAAACTAAAAGCCTTTTCGTGGTGCCAATTCATTTCATATGAATCTTTGTATGAAAAATGTGTTGTCAATGATTTGTAGTTTAAATTACCCGGTTTGAAAAGAGATGATCATAAATTAAAGAATTGAACAATCGACTAATTAATTAGTTTTTTTTTTCTATCATAAGTCCTTTCGAAGTTTACTTCTGCGGTTAAATTTTAGATGACCGGACAAGTTTTTATTGAAAAAAAAAAAAAAAAAAAAAAAAAAGATTAAGGGTCTCGCTAATAAAGATTTTTTTTTATTTTTTTTACGATCTGGATTTCCTTGGACTTGGAGAGTCAGACTCAAGTGGATATTTTGAATGTGACATCTTGAGTGGTCGTTCAATGATGAGATGTGATTCGAAGCATACCAAAATGACGTCTGAGGGTATGAGTTGTGTGGGTTAAAGTGAACTGTTCAAGCTTTAATGAGTGAATGGTGTGCTGAAAGAGTAGAGACTACGATGTGAAATTGATTTTATCAAGACCTAATCCTGTTTCTAGGCTTCAGTTCCTCACTATAAGCATCACTGAGCCTGTTTGAACTTGACTTTGGATGACTACTACCCTTAACTTAAGTATCTCTCTCTCTCTCTCTCTCTCTCTTTCTCTCTCTCTTTCCTTTTTCAATTCCCTTCTCTACCCATCTCCACAACTTGAACTTGACTTCACTCTCACCACTCACTTCAACATGTCTGCTACTTACGCCATTTACACCTCACCCAATCACAAACCCATTCCAGATCACCTACCCACTCTTATCATCACGCCACATGGAAAACCTCATCAAGTCTTATATACCTACCTTCACACTAATTATAATAAAGAAAACTATCTACTCACTCCATCAGATCAAGGTGATTTATGTGTTGCTAAACTGTTTCCACCTCCACACCTTAAAAATAAACAAACCACTGGATCAGGCTCAGATAGACAAGCGATTAGATGTGAAGCAAGTCGTAACTTGAAATGGACTATCAGAAATGAGGGTATACAAAATCCAGTTTATAAATTAACTTTACCGAACCCGGATAATCCTCAAATAGAACAACCCTTATTTCAAGTCAGTAAACCAAACCCAAATTGTCCCTGGTGGACTTTATTTTATTTCACGTATGTTATTCTTATCTCTTACTATTAAAATAAATCAATTTGTAACTCATCCCCTTCTTCTTCTTTCTCTCTTTCAAATTAGTTATGCTGGTCATCTTATTCCACCTAAAAGAATTGAGTTTGGGAAAATTATCAAAAATTCTTCTAATGATTCACGTGGTGGTTCAAGTGAGACTAAGATTAGTGTCACTGGGAAAACGGAAGAGGAAAAAGCAGTATGGAAAACTTTAGGAGAAGGAAATGAGGATATGGTCGAATGTAGGTCTTTTTTAGAAAAAAATCTTGATGACTTCTGACTCATAATATCCTGACTGTTCCTATATCTCTCTCTTCCTGCTTTGTTTATTTCATATATAGGGATCTTAATTTGCGCTTCTTTAAATGTTTTGGATGATGAGATCGCAAAAGCTGTGGAAGCTGCAGGAGTGAGATTAGCTAGTGGGCCGAATGGCGTATCAACATCAATACCAACTCAATCATCAGGTCCTGCTCGTCAGTTACATCCTACAGGAAGTGCAAGACCCCCAGCTACGGCACCTATCCGACCAGCTGTTTATAATGCACCACAGTCTCGTTCACATCGACCACCTCCTCCTTCAGGTCCACCACGTCACCTTCCACCAAGTCAACATAACCGCTCCAATGGACCGATGCCAGTATCAAGAGGTAGTTCAACAAGCTCACACCCGCATTCACATGATCCTCATGGAAGAGTTACTACACCTACCTCACAGTTACCATCAGTTGCATTACAATCTACTCATTCCCAAAGATCTACACCACAAGGTTCCAGACCTATGCCAACCGGTATACCAGCTTCTTTACGCGGTCCTCCAACATCATCTCATCATCACCACCCTCCTCCATCATCTCATCATCCTCATCAAATCCCTTCTTCACCACATCGTCCACCTCCACAATCATCTAATCATCATCATCATCAAATCCCTCCCTCACCACATCGTCAACCTACACAATCATCTAATCATCATCATCATCATCAAATCCCTCCTTCACCACATCGGCAACCTACACAATCGTCTAATCATCATCAATATATCGTTCCTAATAATTCTAATCAATCAAATTCTCGTCCTGGTCTAAGAGCAATGGCGCAAACAACTCCTCCATCAAATGATCATAGAATAAGGCAAGTAAAATGAAGAAGAAGAAAAAAGAAAAACACCTCTTTTTAACAACTAGTTCCACGATTTGTGTTCTTAAGAACAATGAATTGAAAAATCTTTCTTTTCTCAACTTCATGACAATGCTATTGAAAAATATAAACTCAAAAAAAAAATGTCTCTCAATTATCTCACAATCGTTCTTTTTATTTGGGCCCTTTATTTTGTTATTTTTTTTTTAGTTCATTCATGAAAGAGTCAGTTTCTGTTTTCTTTCTCCTAATCATTAAAGTTTTTTTTCAAGTTTTTTTCTGTGATGGGTTGTTTTTTTGAAAGGAGAGGAATGAATGAATATATACCTCCTCTATCTATCTATAGCGTACGTCTTTCTTTCTCTCTCTCTCTCTATGTGTGTGTAAAATGCCATGTTGTTGTTCGTTGTTGTCTCCAGGGGCTTATGTTTGGATTCACATTTTTTTTGTTGAAGAAGTTGAATGGTTTTTGTTGCTTTAATTGATTTATCAATCTTTATTTTTTTCTTGTCTTTGGTATATATATATATATATATATATATCATCATTGATTGAATTTTATAATGAATTGAAAACTGAGGTTTTTCGTTTGATCACATAATACAAAGTTTAAGTTTTTAAGTTGCAAGATAATAGTGTAAATATATAATAATAAGAAGATTCAAAAAAAAAAAAAAAATCTTCTCTTTTTTTTTTTTTTTTTGAATCTTCTTATTGTTATTAAAGCTTTTCTAAACTAATTTAATTGAGAATTTTTCACTCAAAAGATAATTTCAAAATGGGGGGAGGATTGAAGGGTTATCTGATTTAGGTTGTTATTCTTAACAGAGAAAAAAAAAAAAAAAAAAG